GCAACATTTCTCCACATTTCCCCTGCAGCATCTCAGGGAAGGATGTCCACAACTTCCAAAGTGCTGCATCAAGGGCCAACACTCAGCACAACTGGAGGATTTCCACAAGGTGGAACGAACTGAAATGCATTCAGCACGCCCATGAGACAGGCTCTAGCTAAGCAGTACTATGTTCAGGCAGCCCTTTGTCTGCCTTGGTAAAATTAAACTTCAGTCGTGAATATCTAAATATTAAATTATGCATTTCCTGTGTGTTCTGGAAAATTCAGATTCGTTATCGCTCTGGATTACAAACTTCTGAATGGGAAGTACTACAAAAATTAATCTAAAGAATTTACAGGAGGCCTAGCAGCAAACCTTCAAAGGTAATTAAGTAAACAAGCCTCTTTGCCAAAGTTGTAAATTTGTTAGTTCCACATAAAAAATAAATGAACATGAAAGCCTGGAATATGTCTAGTTATTGTATGGTTAAACTGATGGTTAGACTATTAAGTACATGATTAAACTATTTCAACTGAATACTGTAAGTTGTTGGATTTTATGTTAATCAMACAGAGACATTTCTCTGGATCACAACAACGTATATAAATACAACAGTTTAAAAGCAATTAAATTTGTATTGGGGAGATCTCACTTGATCATTATTAATATGAGACATCCGCCTTTAGCATCTCTGCCTGCAACCTTACCAGCCTCACAGGACTATTGTAACTTGACTGGTTCAGCCACAAAGCAATGTTTGTGTTTTGCCGTGAAAGAATGAAGATAATGAAAACATCAGCATTCAATATGACCAGCTGAAAACCTTACGTGCTGCAGACTAATGGATGAGCAGAATTTTCCAGGATTGAAATACAGAAAATAAAAGCCCTAATCCAAAAATGCACAGGTAGAGATAATCCACAGCAGTAGATCCACTGGAAGGAACATAGTCATTCTTACAAACAGAGCCACACAGTGAAACTTAGACCTGTGCCTAGTAATATATTGATTTTATTTCTATGTTTTATTTGCAAAAATATGACAAGTCCCCAAACCAAAAATTGAAGTGATATTCATGATTTGGCCTCAAGAACATGAGATTTCCTGACACTCACAAGATTACAAGTGTAATCTTGAGTTCTAACTATCCTCACCAGTTTCTCTCCACAGTGCTTTCTAAATATGTAAGGTTGTGGTGACTTCCCGTGACTTCCAAAYTCCCTGAGGTAAAAAACACATACCAGTTTAACACAGAACTGGCTGCCACAGCGCAATCACTATCTGTTGACTCGGCAAGTTCCTTATCCAGCAACAATCCATCTCACCATATAGGTGGCAGTTTAATATTCACCCAGGCTTTTGCAAATGAAGCGAAACATTTTTTTCCTTCACAGTAACGGTTAATGAAACATAGGCGCAGGATAACAGCTGATTAGCCTAACACTATAGCATATCCCAGGGTCCATCAATACGCTTGTGGATGCCTCCTGCCTGCCTCTGCTGTTTCTGATTCCCCTCAGCCTTTTTTTCGCTCTGAGCACAGACTTGGCAGAAAGCCTCTTGGGCCACAATGTATTTACGTGATCTGCTCCATCCTCCTGTTGGCRATTGCTGAGATACCTGGTCAACAGAAGGGCACTGGGGACACACAATCCCTCAGCAATGACTAAGCAGTTTTCCAAGCAGCCCTCATGCTCAAATGTAATTCAAAACACAGAAACTGCACATAAAAATACCAAACAAGAAGTGAAGGTTCCAAGCCTACAACAAGTCACAAATTCAGAATGTTCTGTCTGTTCAGCCAATGCAATGACAGACATAAATAGTATCAATCTTTTTCTATTCTATACTCTCAGTATCATTAAAGAAATTAACACCACCCTTTTGCAGGAGAGAGAGGAAAAAAATGTCAAAGCTAGTTGCCCTCCCCCTAAAAAAAAATAGAAGTAAAAAACCTGTAAGTGCTGGAAAAATTCATACAGATCTCTATTTCACTACTGTTATTTCAAACTCTAAATACTATCTGCAAGAGATCTTTCTTTGGCGTCCAGCCCTGGCAGAAGGCTGAGTTTTTCAGCTAATAAGGACCTGGAGGTTTTACAAGACCACAGGGGTTTTCAAAATACCCTTGCATACTCAGAGCAGGCAAATTAACAGATCTTATGCCAGATGCAAAGTGGCATTTTATAGATTACTTTAAAAAGCTACTAACAGTGAAACTTTAAGACTACATAAAGATATCCAAGCAGCTAATTCAAAATAAATCCACATTCTATTGCGATCATTATCATATATTCACTGTTCTGTAATGGACTTTGGATATATGTCATTGGTAAATAATCTGGATATATGCTCCTGCCTAAGCTGTGCTGGACAACTCAGAGGCTGCATTAGTGACTGGCAAACAACGTTTTACCACATAAAAAAGGAAGCCACATCTCTAGTAATAGCAACAGCACTAGTACAGGCAAAAACTTACTCACTGAACTGGCAAAMTGCAGATTTACACAGTGCTGTTATTCTGAAGGGTAAGACACACACTGCTTTCCTGTTTAAAAGTAGTTGAAAAGGTACATTCCACCTCTCATCACTGAATAGCGGCCGWATCTGCGGAAAGCAGCCCAATCTGCTTTCCAGTGACGCCAGCCCAATAAAACAGTTCTTGAGACCATCAGTAGCCTTGACAGCCATCTCAGAAGACTCCGTTCAGTCAAGATTTAGTAGTAATAGTAGCTCATGGTTTAAAAAGTGCTTACAGTCCAGAGAGCAGGGCCAAACACAGCTGCACACAGGTCCTGAATCAGGTCCTGTCAGAATTACCTAATGGTGGTGTTCAATGATGCTGGACACTATTGTCTCTGTGAAGATATTTCAGAACATCACTCCATTTAAGATCTGTATCCAGACTTCATCACTGGGACCAGTGCAATAACTAACTAGCTCTAGCTCCAAAAGAAGCTCTCCAGTGCGGTCACTGATAGCTAGACATTTTACTAGAGTCTGAGTATCTGGTGAACATATGCAGTAAAAACTGTGCAGGTTATTCTGAACTTCTCCTGCTATGCTGCTTATTGGACAAATTTTCAGAAATAATGCAAACATGAATACTGTTTTCCTACTTCTTAGTTTGCTTCTGATACATTTAGAAAATAAAAAGGAAAAAGTTAATGAAAAAAAAATAGAAGCAATGAGTACTTGCTAAGCGGAAGCTCTTARGAAATACTCTATCTTGTCTCTCTTCCATCCCCATGGACTGTTTTAAAGAAGACATGCATAACCATGTCATTGTTCATGGTATAACCATTGACTAAATGAGCTTTCTGTAAAACACATTAGTATGACTAAAATAATTCTAGATGGAATAACATAACCTTAGTTATACAACAGTTATTGATTCTCTGATGACATCTATATCATGAAATTATCATATATGCTATACACACATATATGTACATAACCAACACCAAGAAGGAAAAAAGACACCATGTAAGAATTTCCATGTCTGGAAGGGAACATTTCTTACTCCATGGAGTAATGAGTCAAATTATTAATAATTTTGCTGTTCATAACAATGCATTCTGCACTAAAAGCTTGCAATTGCAACTTACACTGTGCACTTTAGGGAAAAAAAGATCTAAGGTATTTTGGCTCAAAACTGATTTTGTTATTATATTATGACTATTAGCTTTAGATTTGCAATTTGATCCCTAAAATCTATTCCAAGTTTACTTAATGGCTTTATTATTTTTCTTTTTAAAGCCATTAAAGAAGAAATCACAGATACTTTTCTACTGAGTATATTCATTAAATAATGACCCATTCTCTGTTTAACAGTCCTAGTACATCCACCACTTGAACCTTACCACAGTAAGGGAAAACATTTGACTAGATTTTATAGTATGCAATTATGCCAGAATGTGCTTACTGAAGAAATATCTTCCTAGCTTGAGGCAAATAAGTTGGTTAATATCATGAAGCATGAATAGACTTGAAATAATGCTTCATGTATAGAATGATTTTTTTTTCCAGACTTTCTCTATATACCATGCAGCAACATTTCAGCATATAAAAAAGTACAATGGAAAAATGAGAAAATTGAACAAGGATGGTTGAGAAGACTTCTCAAGGGAATACAATTCCCTTCTTTCTATCCCGCGTACCGCCATACATGTAAACATGAAAGAAGGCACCGGAAAGAAATAAAGAAAGAAAGAAACAAACAAAATACCACTTCTATTCAAAAACCTCCTCTTCCCAACCCTTTCCTTCTATATTCCCTTATATGTAGAAATCTATATGCATATATAGATGTCTACAGAAACTAATATCAGCTCAGGGTGTAATTACAATCCTAATCATCGAAAATTATACCTGAAACAAATGAGCAGGCATAGCAGAAAAATATTTTCATGAAAGCAAACTTTTATAAAAAACATTTGTTTGCTTCTTCAGAAATATTATCATTTTACATATATTTTCCTCACCAGAGTGGAGATTCTGGGGCTCTCCTTTTCTCCCCAATCATCTGCTAAGGACAGTTACAGAACTGTCCTTAGCAGATGATTAAGATCAGTTGATTTTGGTATGGACTTTTTGCATGTCTACATTTACAAAACATGCTGAATTATTTCCATMTTTCCTTTCCTGACATTACTGAATTCCTTAATTCCTGAACACAAATCCCAAGGTCTGAAAAATAACCATTTCAATTAATTTTCTTCTCTCACACAAAGCAGTGGCATTTCAAAAAGAAAAAAATCAGGAGGTCAGTATTCCTTATAGCCATATTCCACTCTCCAGTCAAAATTTTGACAGATGTATAAATAGAGTACACTTGAGCAGTCAATACTATTTAAACARAATATGCACAAGTTTAAACATTCAACAGGTAATATCCCTGAGCATAAACAACTTGCCAGTAGACAGGAAAAGACAAGTGGAAAAAACAAATACAATACACAATCCATAGGACTGCAAATACTCAGTGCATATGAAAAGAAATAAACAACACCACTTACTTCAGATTTAGAGGATATGTTTTCCTCCATATCAGAATCATTGGGATCCACAATATCATCAAAAGGTGGAAGAGCAGACATCTTCTTTTCCAGTGTATCATTTTCAATTTTGACTTTCCCCATCTTGAATTGAGATCTATCCTTGGTTTGTTTTTTGTCAGCTGAACAAGTAAGAATCAGTGGCGGAGCACTAGAAAAACTTTTAAATAAAGACTCTGAACTACCTTTTTTTCTTTTTTTGGTAGAAAGTTCATCAGAATCCACAACAGAGGGCCTTTTTGTAGGGACCTTTTTTTCCAGCTGCTGTCCACCAGTTATGGTAAGGATGGGAGTGTTTTCAGATTTTGGCTCCTTGGTCATGGGTTTGGGTTCCTTGAAGGCCATCTTAGGAACTATTTTTTCATCTTTTAGTGGTTTGTTTTCTTTGGGTTTCTTAGAGCATTCTTTGGAAGATTTACTGTGTTCCCTGGAAGGTTCTTTGAAGGCACTTTTATGTTCTTTTGAGTCTTTAGAAGTTTTTTCTCTGTGCTCCTTTATTAACTTATGGGGCTTTGAAAAACTGTTAGTACTGCTGCTACTGCTACTAGTGTTCATTATCTTAGTTGGGTCCTGCAAAAAGGAGAAATAAAGCTTTATTTAGAAACAATCAAACAAACAAAAAACCACAAAAATTTCCAAGACACAATATATATGACTAAAATAATAATAAAAAGGACTGGGAACTGCAAATAATTCTGTAATAACCAAATCATAAAAGCCATCATTCTGGTCAACTTATGTACTACAATGTGGTGGACCATGAGCAGTTACCATTGTTGGTCAGTATTTCTAAGAAGAGAATTGATTCATATCTTAAAAATCAAACACAGCTTGAAAGAAATATGATTTTTAAAATTAATATAAAGGTTGTTTAGGAAATGTTAATGATGACTAATTGCCAAAGAGAAAAAAAAAAAAAAATGAGAAAAGATCAGCACAAGAACCTGGATACTGCCAGAGAGAATTAGGACAAAATATGTCATTTCAGGCAAAGCTGAACTTTTCAACCACTACTCTCTTTCCATCTTTTGTCAGACCTCTTTCCTCATTCACAGTGACAACTTTTGGCCAAGCCTAGCTGTGGAGGGACTGGTCAATACATCTCAACAACTAACATCTCTCTAGTGAAAATTGCTGCTAARAAAAAACTTTTGCCTCCCTACACTATTTTCTTTGCTGCTGTTTATGCCAGATATGTCATTACATATTTTAATTCAATTGCTGCAAGTGAAAAGGGCTTCCTGAGAATGTGGTAACTGGTAAAACAGAAAAGTTGAAGAGATTTTTTTCTGGTAAATGTTTACCAGAGGTATTTTTCTGGTAAAACTGAAAGGTTGAAGAGATAAGGAAAATAGTGATCTTTAACTAGACTTGGCAATAAGGGAACTGAAATATTTGGAACAGATTTCAGGAGATCCTTCCTTCTACGATTTAACTCTCATGTCCTCTGATTTCCTGTGTGCCTTCACTGAATTTTCAAAGGATAAAACTACCCTGAATTATCATCCAGCTTCATTGGAATTGCTTGCAGTGGCAGCTCAAAAATACCTAACAGCCTGACTAAATACATGTAATAATTCTCCAGAAACAAAGTTATTTTACACTACTTGAAATCTTCAAAACAACAGTTCTATTAACATGAATACATCCTCAACAAATTCAGGTATTTTGTTCCTTAAAGACACATATAAAAATAACTACCTATATATTGGTCCTCTTCAGAGATTCTTTTAGGGAAAAATACTTAAAGAAAGATATTGCTTATACCATTGGTTTCCTTCACCTGTACCTTTAAGCTTCTAGACTGGCTATAAAATCTAAGACCTTGGAAGCACAATTCTTTTCTTATTTTTATATTATGAAAAATCTGAAAAAATCCTAACTATAAGTACAGATTTAAACAGAACGTTATTTCATTAACAATGTCATGCTAAAATAAACACTGAAAGAACATACACTAAAAAGATTTTTTATTCCCGTTGAAAATCCATAAGATTGAAGATCTGAAGATCAACAGGATCTAATGGATCCTGTTGAAAATCTGTCAGACCGTAAGCTCAGGAAATCACTGCTCTGAGAAGATATGCTCTGATCAAGGGCTATACTCCATGACAGCACAGAAACCTCCAACTTGCAAATGATCAGACTCATGATTAACAGGAAGAACACTAATAGCTTCAATGAAGTTATATGGATGACAGCCATTCTGACATTGCAAGAACTTCCAAGTCTGTCTTGCTGGTGATTTTACATACTACAGCAGAATWGTTTTTAATTACTCTTCCTGAGGACAAAACAGGGTTAGTATTATTTATCAGACACTGGAATGAATCAAGTTAACTTTGTCACAACACACAGTGTTTTACAATTGCAATTTCACTGAAATTCTGAAAGAGCGCTTGATGAACACATACTAACAATTAAACACGCTTTCCATTACAATCTTTACACAAAAAAGCATTACTGAAAATGGATAACTACTTAAAAGAATGTTTGTCCATATAAATATTGAAAAGGCACTTCTATTTTGACTTTCAATACTACTGGTTAATAATCCAACTCTTCAAGATGCAGAACAAAGTAATACCCATGATCCTTTAGTCTGCTTAAGATACGATACTCTCTCATCTATACAAAATTCATGAACAAATACTTTGCTCTATTTATTTTTACAGAAATCCGCACCAATKTTTACCCACCATACTACAGCAAAAAGGTTCTTTTTCAGCGCTTTTCTGTTTCAGCGCTTTAGCACATATGCAGATGTGACTTCTCTGGCTATCTGACACTGAAACATATTTACACAACAGCAGAAGGTTAAAATATATTAAACTTATCTTCCCTCACACTTTACTGTTTTAATCCCAATATAAATGTAAGTGCAGCAGTGCACTCAAAGTCAAAAGAGAAAAAGAGGGCACAAAAACTTCAACTTCTACATGGAATGACTGATTTTCTAAGTACAATCTGTATCACTGCTCTGAAATCCACTCTCCCTGTCTTGCCCTCCTCTTCCTGCAAATAAACAGAACATGATCAACCTCTCAACAAGATAAGAAATTAAGACAAAGAATATACTCAATAATATACCCATTATGTGCTGCCTATTAACCAAATTAGCAGATCATGTCTATTTAAGATTTCCATAATATGAATGTTGAATGCTGTAAAACCTGGGTATTTTAAACAATCGTACGTACAGAGAGAGTGAACTCCATTCTTCTCCCTACCAACACAGAGAAAAAAGTATTTATTATATCACTGTTGCAAACAAATTCTCATGTCAGATTTGGAAATCTAAATATATACCAATATTAACAACKGGCAAAAGAAGAAATCCAGCACCCAAACCACTAGAAAACATTCAAGTTAAAATCTTGGATGACAGGGGAGGATTAAAAATGACTGGTCCCAAGTCAAATATATGCACTATGGATTTATTCTTAAAAAGCAATCCTAATACATGCCAAATTTCTGAGGAGACCATCTGGAGCTGGTAGAAAGCAAAAATGTTCTATCAATAACCTACAAGAAAATCTTCAGTCTTCAAGCGTGAAATATTCTGTGGAAACATCAATTTGGAAGGTAACATGGCAGAAACATCAAAGCTTTTTTTTTTTTTTTTTTAACAGACATAGAACTGTAGATGTTGGGAAGAAAAAAAAAAAAAAAAAAAGACAGTCTATTTTGTCAATTCAATATAGTTAATCCAAAAAAGTTTGAATCTAAAACATGAATTGAAATCTTTATCACACTTGAGAAAAGTTTGGCTGTGATGAGCAAGGCAAAGCCCAGTTTCATTTGCTAGGCTATGCTACATGCACTTTTCCATGTGGCGCTTTGCCAAAAAGGTTAATTTTGAAATTTACTTAGTCAGCCATTAAATTAATATACACTCTACTAATATTCCATGCTAATGAAAGATAAGTGACTGTAAACTTAAAGCTGTGAATAAAAATTATTTTTCTCTTAAACCATGAACAATATTCTGATGACATCTGAATGTCTAAATATAAGACATTTCCTCATTTCTCAAAAATCAAAATGTGTTAATCATTCCTTGCACTTGATTAGTCAAGACTATTCACCAGGTTAAAAAAAAAATACAAAACCAACACAGAAGGTATGTTAGATGAATTCATTACTAATGCTTTCATCTTCAGATCTTCTTGTATCACGTCAGAGCCAGAAACACTACTCTAGGGAGGGATAAGACATGTGCCACTTGTAAACAAGATGGAGCCCTCATAACTTTTTCACTTTCCTTACCAATAATTTTTATACGCTTTAAAGGAGGAGTCTAGTTTTAGTTGCTTTCCAGCATAGAACTATGAAATGGACCTTGGAGGCAATATTATCACAACCACTAGAAACTGGGGACCTATGTCTGCTTTACATTCTTTTCCAGAGTGTGAAGGAAGCTGAAGGCTTCAGAGAAATCAAAGTTTAAATATATGACACAGTGACATTTAATATCATATTTCACTTATTGTCTAAATAAAGTACCTTTTCTCAATTTCTAATCTTCCACAATGAGTCTATCACGAGCCAACAAAAATGCAGGAAAAAAAAACACTATGAGGCACTCAAAATAAAAAAAAAAAAACTTATAAAATTCTGTCATTCTAGTGGTAAATGTACACATCTGAATTGGGGTGAGCTGTGGGTAAATTTTCATAGTATGTGCTGCATAGACCTTAATGTAAATAAGAATGTATGCTTAAATGTCTTTTYCCCCAACTTAAGAAATGTTATGAGGAAGAAAAGTGAATTATATTTCTTCTATGTGACATAGCAAATGGTCTTTTTTTTCCACGTTGCATGTGTAATTATATAGAGACCATGGGGTTCTGACAGATACTATATTTACATACCACAGCTAACATTTGTGCATTCATGAAATATTATTTTAAGCAACTCAAGCGGATGTTATATCTTTATATATTGCCTGACAAACATTGAAACAATAATATGGCAGATTACAAGCATATTAAAAAGGCTGTAAACATTTTCTTTTATTAATCCAAGCAGCAGCAAGCACACACATTTCAAGATATTCAATCCCTTTGACAGATCAGCAGTAACAAGCCTTTAAAAAAATATTTGAAGAAGTGTTATATAAAACTAATAAAGTTGAATATTTTGGTTAGGCCTCTCTCATCTACAGTAGTTTTATGTTTAGACTAATAATTTCTGGTCCTGGTTGACACTAAGTTAACCATGAGTGAGCAGTGTGCCCTCATGGCCAAGAAGGCCAATGGCATCCTGGCCTGCATCAGGAGGAGCGTTGCCAGCAGGCCAAGGGAGGTGATTCTGCCCCTCTACTCAGCTCTGGTGAGGCCGCACCTGGAGTACTGTGTGCRGTTCTGGGCACCCCAGTATAGGAGGGACGTGGAGCTTCTGGAGAGGGTCCAGAGAAGGGCAACCAGGATGATTAAGGGAATGGAACATCTCTCRTATGAAGAGAGGCTGAGTGAGCTGGGCCTGTTTTCTCTGGAGAAGAGACGGCTCAGAGGGGATATGATTAATATGTATAAGTTCAGGAAGGGAGAATGCAGGGAGGAAGGGGA